GGGAGCAAGCGGCTTCGAAAGCGAGACAACATCTCAATCAGAGGCGGCAAAGCGTCCCGAGTCTTCCCACCCACACTGTCAGCACCATTTATGCCATCATCCCCATCATCCCCATCATCCCCATCATCCCCATCGTCCCCATCCTCCTCATCCTCCTTATTGTCTTCATCGTCTTCATCGTCTTCATCGTCTTCATCGTCTTCATTATCCTCGCCCCTATCCACACTGTCCCACAACTTCCATGAATCCACATGCAAACAATCTTGGTTTGCCCAAGTGCACCGAAAATTCACTCTTATTTGCGCCTTGACAAAGGCTCCGACTTTTGCAAACTCGCTAGTTATCTCTTCGAGCAGACTTCTTGACCCAATGCCATTGTCTCGACGTACACAATACCAAAGTCTGAGTGCAAGAGAAATTATCCCGCATTTTTGGCATTCATTACATTTTTGACGGCTGCTTGACTAAGTAATGTCAGCAACTATCACTGCCTTACAGGCATTACTTACCCGTATGGGAGAGCTTGTCAGGTCTGCTGTATGATTTGCATACTTCAGGAGTGACTCGGCGAGGAAGTATGATGCAGAGGCAATCTGACTAGGCCTGATCCCAAGGAACTCTTCGTACAACATACTGCTTGCTGCAAGATATTGTGCTATTGTCAAAATGTCTTGACCACTTTTGTCGAGAATCTGCATGCGACGCAGGAAGAAAAAGGGGCTAGGTGTTCCGAGTAAATAATCTAGCGCTCCCAGCAATTGCCTCTCTATGCTTGAAATATCGCTCGGTCTATATCCTTTGCCAAACCCCCCTAAATCATGAACAACAGAAAGGTAAGTCTCCGTTTCTTTCTCATGCACGTCAGGTGTCTCGTACTTGACGGCTAGTGCGAAAGCTACTGAGCCTAAGACTTCAAGGTGTTTACCAGCGCATTTCCTGGAAAGGAAGCGGTCTACAAAGTTGATTGCCAGGAACACAGTCTCCATGGGAATGTGGAATTTTATAGAATACGATAGAAAGCGGTCGACGAGCTCTCTTCTATCCCGCCATTGTAAGTTTTGATGAAGTTCCATGTAGTGTGCCGAGGGCAAGGTTTTCTCCTACACTATATCAGTTCACAAGGCCCAACAAGGCTCTGGGTTCACTTCTTTACCTCTATCGTCAGAAGATGTCCGAACATAATCTCGTCGTTTTCCTCCAAGATTTTCTGTTCCTCTTTGTTTTCTGTTAATTTGAGACTCATTTCTTTGCAATAGTATGCTGACTTTCCAGCATGCGAGGTTCTATCCGAATCACTTTTTCGTAGAGTATAACAGTCGAAAGAGCATTCTTATATAGCCGCACCCCCGAAAAGGAGCGAATGTATTAGCTCGCTAAACATTGCCTTGCCTGAGAACGCAGGGCTGAAACAAGGTCTGAATGATATAAGACAAATAAGTCTCAAATCTCCCATTCGAATACAAATGAGTATTCATCTTCAAGTCACACACCTCTGACGAGAGACAGCAATGTTCGCGTCATAGTCATTTGGTAGTTGAGTCATGTAGATCGCAAGTTCGAATGAGTGGACAGCGACAAGGCAGACTTCCAGGTCCGATTAATTCCTACATCAGATATCACGTTGTTCCCTAGAAAAAACTACATCCAAAATACCCCACCCCAAAATTTCCATAATTTGCTTCTCATCATAGTCAGCATCACGTTGTTTGCTCCAAGAAATGAGTAAACCAAGAACTTCCTCATGCGTTGGATCTGGCTCACGAACGTCACTCCAATAGCTCGGAAGCTTTGCATGGAGAAGACAAGTCAGCGGTGGGTATAGTTCATTCTTCGACTCGAGTTTGGAATATTGACGTAACCCGGTTAGAGTTTATGTAGTAGGGTTGGCATGATTGTATCGTCTTCCAACTGATGACTTCTCGCGCATATTACCTGATGCTTGATATTGAGAAGAGAGGCCTAACGCCATCTCAGGTTTATGGCTGGCGAATCATCACACCAACAGCCGGCAATAGTCTTGGCCGATGATAAGGCGTACGATTTAGCCAACCTATCGAAACGCCGTAAGGGTATGGAGTAATACTGTACCGTCGTCCTTAGATTGTCTACTTCGCTGTTGACTATGGCGTGATGCTAATTTAATTAGTGGAATTGCCGTGACGTGTCTCGTGTCATGATTTCACGTGTCTCTACGCCGGATAACGCTGCTGAACAACATGTGTGAATTGTTTATCAGGGGCCAAAAAGCTATTGCCGCGAATCGGTTTGTTATAGTGACTAAACTTACCATGATCAATCAATTCTCGTACATAAATCTACGTTCCATTTTCTGTCAAGAGTGAGCTAGTAGTGTAGAGAGATCATTCTAGACTTGTAGGATAGTCTATAAATTGGCGCATCACTGGCGAACTCTTGGCCTCAAAAGGTGTACTCATGACTGAACACACACTACCTTGCGTGGCCCTCCGAGGAAGGTTCAAAAAGCCTCAGAATCACGACAAAGTCAAAAAACTCATTCATACCATTGGCGCCAGTTTTACTGCCGACTTAGAGAAAGCAACTCATGTTGTTACTACAGAACTCTGTTTTGAGAGTGGTGGCCGGTTCATCAAAGATGCGAAGGAGCGGGATCTCAAAATCCTAGGGATAGAGTGGCTGGAAAAATGTAGCGAGAGTCGATGTTTCGTGGATGCAAACCCATATACCTTCCATGATGCCTGCAAAGATCTAGGTCAGCAGGATCGAAGGCGCAGTCATGCGAACTTCGGCAGGATCTTCGAGAATATCCTGACCATGTGTGATCCCAAGGTCACAGAAATGGTGACTAAAAGGCATTCTGAATTTTGGGCTCTCCTCACTACGCCATCGAGGGAGAGTCCGCAGCTTATATTAGAAAAGATTATTACGAGCCTTTGTAAGCCTTTGAAGGATAACGCTGAAGCAGTCAATGCGATTAGACGTCAGGAAGGCTGTGAAAGTTTCATAGCATTGATTGACTCAATTGGGGACACCGACTACCTCGCTTCTCAGGTTGAATTTTTGATGATAGTATACAGAGCAGTAGTTCTAGATCACTTTGAGGAAGTGACCATCTAGGATTCGGCTTAAGTGGAGGAAGAATACAGGTGAATGGCATTTTTAGTACAAAGGTTATGGCTATACATCGAATTTTCAACGCGATGGCCTCACTCGTAGGGAGCGGAATTCTTCAATGGTGCCCACAGGAGACACCAGGCTTCACCGACTTCTTCTTTACTCTTCTCCAGTAAGTTTTCTTGGAAGGTGGTGCTGTAAATGGATGGGCTTACGTTTTGGCAACCAGCCCCACGTCGGGATCAGAATTCCAGCTGTACGCTGGGTCGAATAATGGTCTCAGAGTCACGGGATGCGATACGCCCGCAGGTCATGTGAGCAGAGAGTCACGTCATTGTAACCGTCGCACTTTCAACGGTAAGCCCGCAAGCAGACCCTACGCATCTCATGTTAGCCACACAATTTTGCAACCTCTTTGGACGGTACACAGAGGTGTGATGATCGTCATCTGTGACAGCGTCGACTTCCAAATCCACCGAATTCATCGTTCCGCGAGTGGAATCAATGGGCGAAAGATCTCCAGTTGCTACAATCATGATGATGAATCCTGTGTTTCGTCCATTGCACGCTAGGCAAACGACTTCAAAGATTCGCTCATTACGCCCTGGTCCTTCGAAATTCTAAGTCACTGCTTTGTTGATGGATATGCAGTGGAACAGCGTCTGAAGGCTGGGATAGTGAGGGTGCTGCTGGCTAGCACGTGGTAAAAGCCCTCACTCACTGCTGTTCTCACTTTTCCGAAGTACTGGGCCAACCAAGCCACCTCTATCTTCTCGTCAGCTTCAGAAGGCGGCGAGGCCGTCGAAGACACATACATGATAGTCTTCCTCTCGCTTCTCATTCTCTACAGAATCTATGCGGTGTCACTTATGATGTCCGTTTTTTCCAATCTCTAATGACGTTGCGCATTCCCTGTTGGCCGAGTATACTGCTGCGATTAGCGGTAAAGCAGAAGCCTGGAAGTTGGTCAACTCACTGGTAATACAGCAGTCATTCTCATTGAACCCTCCTGGTATTTCTTGATGACTCCGAACAACGAATTTGTAGCCATGCTTCTTGAGGAATTTATCCGTGATGTCAGGCCCGTACTGCAAGCCCCAGCCAGGTCGAGCGCTTTTTGTCACCCCGCGATCCTGGGAGGGATCATTCCACAACAGTTGCGTCATGAGGTCTCGCCCCTTCGTCGGGTCAAGTCTTCTTTGTATACTCTGCATGTCTTGAAGCGAAGCCGGCGTTCCGTCTTCTTGCACTGAGAGCCCGCCGTGGATGACAAAAAAAGACTTCCCGTCGTCCGTCTCAAACTCCATTGCCAGAGGGATGCTTCTGAAGCATTTGTGGATTAGTTGGAGAACCTCTTTGCCTACCCTCAGTTGCGTTTCGTGAAAGAAACCCTCTTCTCGGTTGATGGGCTCACTTTCGTGATTGCCTCTATTGACAAACACGAACTTCGGGAATTGAATCTTCAACGTGAAGACCAGCAGAATGCATTCGCAAGAGTATGGGCCTCGGTCGACGATATCCCCATTGAACAGATACATTGTCTCTGCCGAGGGTGCGCCGTTATGACCCACAATTGCTTGCATGTTCACGAAATCGCCTTTGATCTATAAGCTCGATGGTAAATCGTAAGAAGTGGAACACGAACCATGAGTGTCTCCAACCACAATCAACTTCCCTCCTATCTTGACATAATTGATGTTCTCCTCTTGATCGAACAGCTCCTAGGCTTCGATGATTGTCTCCTTGATGGGCTGGGGACGGAAGCCTGGTGGCCAATCGTGTAATCCTCTGAGGAAGTGGTGCACGTTCTGCAGGGGGGTTAGGGGGCCTTGCGCTGCTTTAGAGTCTGGCTCTGCCGTCATCGTAACTTGGCGACAAGGGAATGAAGGTTCGAGCAGGATATCGGAGTGTGCGCAGAGGAAGGAAAGAAGTCTTGAGGAGAGGTCGTTGGCCTGGTGGAAAGATCGAGGTACGCAGTACCTTTTAAATGAAAAACGTGCAGTACGAAGTTATGCGGATGATGAGCGTCTAGATAAGCGGCGAAAGAGCAATCAGGATATTCCAATTGACAACATAATGAGGGCAGTGGATGTGTTCAAGGGCCATGTTCAAAATTATTTCATTCTGACAAGCTGACGGCGTCCGTTTGTGTCCTGGTTGGCGTCATCCTATTGTGTTGGCGGCCGGCAGGGTGGGACAAGACTGATGGGCTTTGCCAGTCAGCGTCAGCCCGTCATTGATCGACAAGCGCACAGAGCAATATGTCAGATACCGCTTTTACAAATTACTCATTCACATCAGCTTGTGTTTCTTTGTGCTGTGTGATTATTGATTGGACAAGTAAAAAGCTGTCGTAGTGGTGTCTTCGACTGCTTGCTACTAGCTATGCTGCGCCATGTACGAACAGGTAAAGGGATTCACAGATGGTGTCGATAGTGCGAATGTCGACTCTTTCCCAGATTTTTACGTGCAGGCATCGTCGCCTCCCTTGTGCCTACACGGAGGCCTGTGGCTGCCTCAACATGTATAATCCGATCGATGGCTTGTCTATAACCTTTTGCTAATCATTGCCTTGAGCTCAACTTTCGGCGACGGCAAACCTGCCTGTGAGTGTGGTGCGGGGACCCACTAACATCGCAAAGTGGTCTCAGGCACCACTCATCGGTACGGAGACCACCAAACGTCCACAGCCTCTGGCCGAGATGGCGAGCGTTAATCGTAAACCAGCGAGACAGCAGCAGCAGGCCATTCTGGTTAGCGACGCTTTCCTGTAACGACAGTGCCGCGACGATTCAGCATGCCTAGAAGTCCGAGGCAGCCACCTGCGGAGGATTTCTGCGGAACCCTCCATTGTGCATTGCCAGCCCAAATGAAGCTGCGGAACAACCGTTGTATTGCGCCCAGAGGATCAATCCACGGATATCTGTACGAGGTACGAAGCACAGGATGGTTCGCTAGCGCCGGGCTCTTACCCCAGATGTGGGTAGTCGACCGGGGTCGCATAAGACCCTCACCACAGAGTCTAGGCAGTACGTACCGACAGGCATCCACGCGCATGTATGATAAGGCGAACTAAGCCTTAGCATGTGCTGGGTCGGCGGCTCTGTGAAAGTACGTCTGGACACTGACGGCATGTCCGACGGGCTTGGTAGCGCCAAACAGCGCTTTCTTACTGGATGGCATGCGATAGCCGTCCCAAGACACGCAGCCACCGATTCGTGTGCGTGGCATGGTGCACTCAATCATTGGCACATGGCTGGGGTCCGATTAACCACATCACCCATCCTTGCATCGGCGCCTGTTGCCTGCGCCTTGTGCCCAAACCAGGCATTACCGTCAGGGATCCCATTACTGACCTCCGGTTGGTGGGCGATAGGTCGGACATGGGGTGATAGCTGATCCCGACCAGCAAAAGTAAGAACCACAGGCCAGCAGTTGATCGAGCCAAGCTGCAAGCTCGTCCAACCAATTCACGACTCTGCTACATTGGAGGATCGTTGCATCGACTGGGAAGTGTGCCTTGTCGTGGGTTCAACGTGCCTCGTTTGAAGCTATTTCGTTGCTGCCTTGCTTCTACATACTGCGTAGACAATACAGCCCACACAACAGGGGCAATTATGGGGCAATGACAAGACAATTTGGCCATTAGTACGGAATACCAACTGGAGCCTTTTCCGCGCCGGCAAGGATCACACAAGCATTTGCTCGCACCGAAGAATGCCCCACGCAAGGCCCAAGGCCGGACGACAAACCGGCGTTGACGGAAAACAAGGTGGGGCGCCGGACTTAACGTATGTTTAGTGCAGGTTGTTGGACACATCGTACGTAAACCCGCGGTCGTTTCGTCCTGTATGGAAGCGCGGCCCAACAAACCTTCGCTGCAAAAAATGTCCAGATGAGAGACGGGCAGCGTACGGAGCTCAAGGCTGGCCGAATGATACGAGCATTACCATATTCACCTTAGTCGACATGTCGACTTGATTTAGGCCCCTTTTTGCAGGCCAACACCCGCTGCCTTCATCTAAGCTAGGATGTTGCCTTGCGCTTTGGACCCTCCTCCCTTGCCATCATTTATCGCAGCAGGCAAAGGCCCAATCAGTCAACTCAAGACAGCGACCATGCCTTCT